CGTTTCTGACTAACTGCTTAAACTACCTTCACAAAAAGGTGCAAATCAGTGTCTTTCATGATTGACCCGATTACAGCTTAAAATACCACCACAATCCGGCTCTCCTGGCTGGTTTTGGTTCCACAGTAACATGACGTGATACGGGTGACCACCACCAGTCCACAGTTCAACCACAGCACTTCTGTATTGTTCTTAGAGGCGTGCTGGCTGCTGCCAGGCTGGCTCGTCTGTAACTCAGCCGCTGTGGTGCAGCCATCTTGACTCCATCCCAGCCTTCTGCCCCGAGGTCTACCTTTGCGCCACTCAGCAACGCGTGCTAAAGCCCGTTCGATGGGGGCGTGGTTGTGAGCAGCCATATCACCCGCTGCAAGATACCGATAGTATGCGCTATTGTGGAGACAAGATCATCAGCTTTAAAGTGTTCCCTTGTTAGCCACGATTAGCAACCAACCAAGTCTAGCATGTAGTGTTGTTGTTATACGTCATCTACCGCGCCCGGTAAACTCCATGCTGCGTCATGCAGGAAATGCTGAAGCCTACAGAACAAACATTGGTTATAAAAACCCGATACCGATAATTCCCCATATTACATTTTTTAGTGAATATCGTTGGACATCCCTAATATATATATATATGTGTGTACCCGTGGCTACCCTAATATACTCTAACCCTAACCCCAAAATCTGGAAGTCTAGGCTTCACAGCACTTTATGTGTGTGCACAGGTGACGTAAGTGTGACAGTGTGCACACAGTTGTAGTCTGGAAACAGTACCTACTACTCACCCGTTTTTGACGAGGTCATATTTTGGACCACCATTGTCATTTGCCTTGCTGGTTGCAGAGCAAGACTCGGTCACAAGGTTGATTACGTTGCCATCCAGCCCGTTGGTGTCCAGGTTCATGTAGATGGTTTGGCCCATCGTGACCCCGTTGGTAAGGTTCATGGGTTTAGTGCATTCGGCGTCACTGCACATGCTCATAGACAGACTGTAATTCCAAGTTCCAGATATAACCTGCTGAAGCCCAGTGCTGCAGAAAACACACAAACACACATTTATCTTCTGGAGAATTACACTAACCTTAACCTAAAAAACTAGTGTTAAAGTCAGTCAAGCCACGCTCCTTATTGTTTGTGTAAGGAAATAATAACTATAATAATACAACAGCTATTGGATAACACGTATTGCTGCCACCCCAGAAAAAGACAAATGGATCAGTATCACATTATGATGCGAAACGTTTATTATTATATTATATCAATAACAAGATATTTTCACGTTAATACGACATATAAACTTATCACGACATAACTAAAAAATCTTGTTGTAACAACATCTTATTTATTTTAACATTAACCATTTCTCATTATGACAAGATAACTTATTGTTAGACTTAGACTTAGACTGTTATAGAACGTCCTCTGTTAAAGGATAACTCATATTGTTATATTGTTATAAGTTACTGTATAAAATGTTATAACGTGATAACTTATACCACTTTATTACAAAATAAAAGTGATAAGTTTGTATTTGTTTGAATTTATTGTATAAATAGCCCCTTAAGATGTAGCACCTCATTTTTAAGGGTTTACTACAGGAAAATATCTTGTTATAACAATAAACTATTATTTATTTTGTCATCATAAAACATTTCACATTATATTGGGATAGCCTGTTGTTACAAAACGTTTCACATTTTAACTGTAAAAAACAAATCAAAAGAATATATAAATCATTAAAAGCTGTGGATGGTTAGGATGGTTGAACTACTCACCTTCCTTTGATTTTGAAAGTTATCTGTTTGTCGTCCGGCTGGCTGTAGAAGCAGGAGAAGTCGAGGTTTATGGTGCCTTGGCGAGAGATCAGAGCAGACGAGTTGCTGTTGGTTGTCTTGATGGTGTTTTTGTAGATAACTGTCTTGTTGTCGGCCTGCAAGTTCACAGAGATTCAGATAGTGTTACTGCATGATGTCAGAGGTGCTACAAACATAACTTATCTTTAAGACCTCAGTCTGCTTCAAACTAAATGCTTGTTGGATTGGAATGGACTACATTTATATTACCATGAATCATACAAACATTCATTGTGTGGCAACACTGTTTACATGCAAACTGACAGAAGTAGTTGTGTGAAGAATTAAAAAAGAGAGCAAGTGGGAGACAAACACTGTAAACTAGGTGTGATTGTCTGGTTGTCTGTCAGAAAGTTGCAAAAAATTGATGGACTTAGTGTTCCCCAAATCCAACACAAAAAGGAGACTTCAAACTCTGTAAGGCGATCTCCTTTGTTGGAGGCCTTTAGTGCAGGAGAGGTGCCCACCAAGATCACTGCCCCACAGGGGTCGCTACTGTTGAAGCTGAAGGTCACAATGTGGGTCTTTTCATCCATATAACCTCTACAGCTGTCGTTGTTGAGGTGTAAAACAGAGTGGTTGATGGCTCTTTCTGTCAGGAGACAACCCGGCAGATTAACTGTAGCAGTGTTGTTCTCGCAGACCGTCAGGTCACCTGGACCGCAGGAAAAAAGTAAAATAAAACAATTATTCATGCAGTACTGACTAGGGCTGGGCGATATGGACCAAAAGTCATATCCCAATATATTTAGGCTGAATATCGATATACAATATATAT